AGTTATCTGGTTGATGTGTGGATCAGGAGATGTGCTCAGTATTATGCTCACCCCAGGCTCCTTTTCCTTGAGTGAGGTTTGCAATCTTTGGCACCTTAGCCTGTATTCTGTTTGCAGTCTTCTTTGCCCTTCCCTGATCTTCTCTGATCCTGGTTAAATTCCAGGAGCCAATTGCTGGACTAGGCTTGCAGCCTGTCTATGTCCCTTTGTAGCCCTGTCTTTTCCTCATCCAATTTAATTCTCCTCGTTAACTTCACATCATCTGCAAACAGGGACACTTCTGAGTCTTTCCCTTCTGCCATATCATTCACATATTCCAGAAACAGCACCGGTCCTAAGACTGACCCCTGTGAAACCCCGCTCGTCACAGGCACCCAACTGACACCTCGTCACATACCATTACTCGGTGTTGCCTCCCTGTCAGGTATTCTCTAATCCATTACAGTGCCTTTCTTGTTATGTGTACCTGATCCTCTAGCTTTTGCACTAATCTCTTGTACAGAACTGTGTGGAAAGCCTTCTTGCAGTCCGACTTCCATTACCTTGTCATGAAACTCCAGTAGGTTTGTGACACAATTTCCTTTCTCCAAAACTGTGTTGACTGTCATGTATAAGCTTGCCCTTTTCTAAGTGCTCCACCACTCTCCTGATAATCTTCTCCATGACTTTGTATACTATACTTGTCAGTGACACTGGTCTGTAGTTTAATGTCTCATATCTATTACCTCTTAAAAATTGGGACTACATTTGCTGTCTTCCACACCTCAGGTAGTTTCCTAGTTTCAGTGGATGTGTTGAAGATTGTTGTTAGTGGTGCACACAGCATCTCTGCACCCTCTCTTAAGGACCCACAGATAATGTTGTCCAGTCCCACGCCTTTGAGGTACCTAGTTCACTTAGCAGTCTTCACCACCTTCTCGTGTGTGTGTGTGTACTCACCTAGTTGAGGTTGCGGGGGTAGGGGTCCGAGCTCCTGGCCCCGCCTCTTCACTGATCGCTACTAGGTCACTCTCCCTGAACCATGAGCTTTATCATACCTCTGCTTAAAGCTATGTATGGATCCTGCCTCCACTACATTGCTTCCCAAACTATTCCACTTACCGACTACTCTGTGGCTGAAGAAATACTTCCTAACATCCCTGTGATTCATCTGTGTCTTCAACTTCCAACTGTGTCCCCTTGTTACTGCGTCCAATCTCTGGAACATCCTGTCTTTGTCCACCTTGTCAATTCCTCTCAGTATTTTGTATGTCATCATGTCCTCCAGTGTCGTCAGGTTGATTTCCCTTAACCTCTCCTCGTAGGACATACCTCTTAGCTCTGGGACTAGTCGTGTTGCAAACCTTTGCACTTTCTCTAGTTTCTTTACGTGCTTGGCTAGGTGTGGGTTCCAAACTGGTGCCGCATACTCCAATATGGGCCTAACGTACACGGTTTACAGGGTGCTGAACGATTCCTTATTAAGATGTCGGAATGCTGTTCTGAGGTTTGCTAGGCGCCCATATGCTGCAGCAGTTATTTGGTTGATGTGCGCTTCAGGAGATGTGCCTGGTATACTCACCCCAAGATCTTTTTCCTTGAGTGAGGTGTGTGTGTGTGTGTGCACCTGCACCTGCACCTGCACCTGCACCTGCACCTGCACCTGCACCTGCACCTTCACCTGCACCTTCACCTGCACCTTCACCTGCACACACGTACAGCTGTGTCGCAATGTATCACTGCAGGAGAAAAACGTACAAAAAATCGAGTACATTAAAAAACGGAAGGTGTGTAGATACAAGACAACATTTAATTAAGATTATTAAATGAAATTTAATATTACAGTAGAAAAAATTACAACAAAATATACAGAAAGAAGGTGGAATGTCAAAATGAAAAGAATTTGTATACAAAGAGACCAAGAGTAAGAGAATGGTTCAGGTGCTGGAGTCAGTGGAGAATAGTAACAATATTTATTATTATTATTATTAAGATTATCATTATTATTATTATTATTATTATTATTATTATTATTATTATTGTGGTCCCTTCAAGGAAGGTGCCTTGGTAACGGCGAACAGCTCTTAATCCAAAGAACTGCAACTACCCTTCCTTTTCTTGGATTTAAATCTGATCGTTGCTCATTGCCCTGGTGCTGTAGATCCCTGCAGGTTTGAAGTGTAAATGCATGTGGGTGTTGACGAAGTATCACTGCAAAGTGCACCTGAAATACCACTGAAGCGCACGTGAAGTACCACTGTGAAGTGCACATGAAATGCTACTGTGAAGTACTCTGGTACGCTTGTCTGGATGTGCCGCTGTACAGTGCAACAAGGTTGAAAGATTATTTCCCCTCAAGGGAGGTTCTTAGATGCTGGTGAGTGGTTCTTGATCTAAGGAATTGGACCAGTCATCCAGTTCTTCGATTCAAGCCTGAATTCTTTAAATCACATCCCCCCCCCTCCAGGCGCCACATGATCCCTTCTAACCGCTCATGTAGTAATAATTATAATGGGGAATAACCTGTATTCTGTTTCAAGAGTTTTCCGACTCTCGCAGCCGACCTCCCCGCTGATTTTCAATCAACCAGGCTGGTGCTGTTGGCTCTGTTAGGCCCTTATGGGTTTAGCGCTTAGTTTTGATTGCAAATAATTGTTACTGTTGGAGGCCCGCCTGCCCACACATCCATCACAGCCTGGTTGATCTGTCACACCGCAGAGGTAGTGATCCAGTTTCCTATCGAAAACTACGCTTGTTCCAGGAATATTTCTGATGTTTGCAGGTAGCAGATGAAATAGTCGTGGACTACGGATGTTGCACACCGTATTCTCTTATTGTACCTGTGACTCCGCTGCTTTTCTGAGGCGCTATTTTCCCACTTTCTCTCATGTGTCTTTCTCCAGTATTGCATATTACACCTTTAGTACACCCAACCCTGCAGAACTATATGACCCTTATGGATATAGCCCTCGGGTATGATTATAATAATTTATCCAGTATTTTGTGTAGATTCGATACCTGGCCTTCCAGTATCTTCCATGTGTATATTCTCTCTAGAGCACATTTCCAGACGTTTAAATTCTGTATGTGTTCCCACTCGTTTAAATACTGGGGGAGGAGAGAAAAAAGCCTGAGAAGAGGGCTAGAGAGAGGAAAGGGGTAGGGAAGGAGAGGCCCCCTGGGGTGAAGAGGGAGGAGAGGTTGGAGGAGTGAGGCTTGGAGGTGAGAGAGTAGGTCATAGTGTTGTGCCTCACCTCAAATGAATGACGTCACTGCCAACGCTCGCTTCCACGCTAGTATTTTCGTCTTGTCACGTTTTGTCTGTTTCTCCTTGTATATTTATGTATTTATATATTTATGTCTACTTGCATTTAATAAGCCAAACGTGTGTAGTTATCCTTTATGTATATATGAGTGTGTGTATGTATGTATGTATGCATGTATGTATGTATGTATGTATGTATGTATGTATGTATGTATGTATGTGTGTATATATATATATATATATATATATATATATATATATATATATATATATATATATATATATATATATATATATATATGCCGAATATGTAAAACTGGTCAGTTAGCAAGAACTCATTCAAATTAAGTCCTTTCTAAAATTAGATATATTTTTTTCATTAATGATGATGTAAAAGTTTATAATTTTGCACCAAAAGGAACTTAGAAAACTTACCTAACCTTATTTTTATTTTTATTTATTTATTTTATTTATTTTATTTATTTATTTTATTTATTTATTGTAACAAGCGCAATTTATTTTAGCCTAACCCAACTAAATATATTTTTTGTTTACAATAATTTAATACTAAACAAACACAGTGAAATATATTTTTTTTGTTAGGTTCAGAATGATTTTGGCGAAATTATTGCATACACAAATTTTCACTTGTCCTATATGGCAAGATGAGCGTTGCTATTTAAGCCAAGATCTCAAGTTCTGCCTATTCGGAATGACATATAAGGGGGATTACCAGCACACATAAGGGGGATTACCAACAGACCCCTGGCAGTCTTCAAGCTGGCACTGGACAAGCACCTAAAGTCAGTTCCGGATCAGCCGGGCTGTGGCTCGTATGTTGGTTTGCGTGCAGCCAGCAGCAACAGCCTGGTTGATCAGGCTCTGATCCACCAGGAGGCCTGGTCTCAGACCGGGCCGCGGGGGCGTTGACCCCCGGAACTCTCTCCAGGTAAACTCCAGGTATATATATGTATATATATATATATATATATATATATATAAATATATATATATATATATATATATATATATATATATATATATATATATATATGGCATCGGTACAACAATGGTATTAGTACCATGGCAGGAGTACCGATAATGGCAGGGGTATTGATACTATGGCATGGGGGCCAGTACCAGGGCATGAGTGTCGATACCACGGAACAGGAATTGCTAATAGGGCACAGGTGTTGGTACCATGTCACAGGCATCGGTACCAGGTCACAGGTATAAGGGTACCAGGTCACAGGTATAGGGCTAGGGGTACCAAGTCACAGGTATCAAAACCAGGTCATATATATAGGGGTACCAGTCACGTATATTGGTAACCAAATCGTAGGTATCGGTACCGAATCACAGGTATAGGGGTACCAGATCACAGGTATCGGTACCGGGTCACGGGTATCGGTACCGGGTCACGGGTATCGGTACCAAGACTCGGAGTATCCCAAAAGACAAAATTAAGTGGAAAAACATGGCGTCTCTGCCGGGTCACGTTGTTGCAGCCGTGGTCGCCAACGCCTGCTGCCACCTCAACCACTCTCACTGCTTTTTATTCCCTATGCTTCGAGAGAACACCGCTATAAATATTATCAACGATGCCTTTAAAATAAAGCATTTGTATTATGTATGGTTAGCGATTGAGAATGGGTTCGTTATTGGAGTAATCTGTAATAAATATGTAGGTGTTACGAGAGCTGGCAAGGAGGGAGTCACGTTGACAGCGGCGTGTAAGGCGGAAAGCGCCAGTGCCTCGTAAACACTCAACGGGGTGGTGTGTTTGCAATTTGGCTGCTCTTGTCGCGTGTTTTCCTGAGTTTTAACGCTGGATATATACACCGAGAGGTTCTCTCTCTCTTAGCGTATATATACCGGTTTACTTTAATCTCTAGGGATTAAAGTATTCTTGTCCGGTGGTGAAAAGGTTACGTGCAATTGAAAGACTTTAAACCCCGTTAACCAACCTGAAGGTTTTATCATGTGCAGCTGTCTTATTTTTCTGTAGTTCCGGAGCATAATAGTATCAGCTATGACTGGGGAGGGGATTAAGCCCAAGCATCTGGTGCACTGGTTTAGGAAAGGTCTTCGTCTACATGATAACCCAGCACTACGAGCCGGCCTCAAAAATGCTTCATCGTTCAGGTGTATATTTATATTAGATCCATGGTTTGCTGGCTCCTCCAACGTCGGCATCAATAAATGGAGGTGAGTTTACACACTGACACATTCCACAGGTTTTGCGGAGATTTGAACTAAGGTCTGTGGAATGGATGTCATTTCACAGATCCGGATTCAAATTTCCGTAAAACCTGCCAGAAGACTCCTGTTTAGATCCATCAGTATATGTAACTGGTGATAGCTTATTACTACACTGCAAACTGAATTGTTTGCAATTCTAATGACGCTAAAGCTAATCTAAGACACTGAGCTTGACTCTATCATCATTACTGATTCTATGTCATCACTGAAGGCTCTTGACTCATATAATGACTCCAACAACATGCTTAATGGAGAAGCCAGGCGTAGATACTCAAAAATCCGGGACAAAGGAATTAATGTACAATTGCTATGGATCCTATCATACATTGGATTACTCCTTCATGATAAAGTTGATATGTTAGCCAAGAAGAGTACCCAGAAGGAAAATGTAAAATATAACTTTGGTATATCTGTGTCTAGCATTGGGAATAATATTAGGAGAGAAGTAAATGATGAAAATGATTGTTATAGGAATACAGTTAGAAGCCTGAGTAGATCTATAACCCACTATGATAACATGAACGTAGATAAGTATGTTTATGGAGCAACTTGCAATGTTAACAGACTGATGTAGTGGCCAGGCTTAGGCTTGGTTACAAGTACTTCTGGCAGTTTGGGAGACACAGATGATGATCAAACTAAATGTAAATTATGTGATCAGGCATATGGTCACTGTCTTGAACACTGTGTGCTTAATTGTCCACTTATTGTGGAATACAGAGACAGACAGTATAATAACTTTTGTGACATGTCAAGATATCTTATTAATGAAAATAAGATACCAGATATACTAATCAAAATTCCTAAATTTGCTTGTAACAGATAGTGAACTGTAGATATATAGATAATAAAAAACCATATGTACACCTGTTAACCCTTTAGGGGCCTAGTTCCTAGGCCTTTTGTGTATCCATATGCTTTTGCGCTACCATCCACAGAATGTATATGGGGTGCACAATAAACTAGCCACTTCGGTGGCAAAATCTAAATCTAAATCGTAAAACCTGTAGATTATTACACTCGTTTATTATTTTTCATAGTTGCATTACTGGACTATCCCAACTTAAATCTATATGATGTGTTTCCTTTCTCTGTAATTCTTTCCTCTCCCCCATCTATTCTTCAACTATCCCCACTTCCCCCTCACCCCACTAGGGGTGAGGGGGAAGTGTCTAAACATGTCCTGAACATGTGTGTGCCCTTGAGACTATTGTAAGAAAAAAATATTTGCAAAGCCTAAACACTTTCTTATGAGAGATGTGAACAACCTTTCTTATGAGAGATGTGAATAACCTTATCAGATGTTTCTGACGATGAGCGATTTCCATATTACATAAGTACAGCCTCCTCAGCCTTATTGATCCACGAAAGGTATCCCAGTATCCCATAAGCATAGCTCCCTATAGCTCGGTGATCAGAGAAAGGTATCTCATAAGCACAGCTCCTACCTCAAAGATCCGAGAAGGATACTCGTGTATCAAACACCCCCTCCCCCCCATCTCAGTGACTCGAGAAAGGTATCCATAAGCATATCTCCCTCTACCTAAATGATCAAGATATGTATCCTCGTACCTCAGTACCTCGATCCGAGAAAGGTATCCTCATATCCCACAAGCAAAGCTCCCTCTCAATGACCTAAGAAGATATCCCCGTATTAAATAAGAACAGCCCCCTGTACCTCAGTGACCCTAGAAAGGTATACCCGTATCCATAGGCATAGCTCCCGGTACCTTAATTCAAGGTATCCACGTATCACATAACAGCTTTCTCTACCTGAATTAACCGAGGAAGGTATCCCCGTATCCAGAGACAGCTTCCTCTAACTCGTGCACTCTTAAATAGTGCAAGGTTGTCACAAAATTGCAAAGCCGATTGTTATACAGATATGTAGGAATGTGCACATGAATGCTCATGTATGTAATTTATGCTTGTACATACGTATGCATGTGCGTTTTGTTTTGTATACTTGTGCAGGTACCAGTGGCACAGCCAGGATTTCAGTCTGAGGGTCGGGGGTTTCAAAACCATGATGCGGAAAAATCAGTGAAATCGTTTTTTAAAAACACGTTTTTTTCAGTATGTATACCTGGAGGGGGTTTCGGGGGTCAGCGCCCTCGCGGCCCAGTCCGTGACCAGGCCTTGTGGTGGATCAGGACTTGATCAACCAGGCTGTTACTGCTGGCCGCACGTAAACCGAGGTACGAACCACAGCCCGGCTGGTCAGGTACTAACTTTAGGTGCCTGTCCAGTGCCTTCTTGAAGACATCCAGGGGTCTATTGGTAATCCCCCTTATGTATGCTGGGAGGCAGTTGAAGTCTTGGGCCCCTTGACACTTAGTGTGTTGTCTCAGTGTACTCGTGGCACCCCTGCTTTTGTTGGGGGAATGTTTTATCTCCTGCCGAGTCTTTTGCTTTCACAGGGAGTGATTTTCGAGTGCAAGTTTGGTACTAATCCCTCTAGGATTTTCCAAGTGTATATTATCATGTATTTTTATCGCCGGTTTCCCAGGGAGTACAAATCAGAGGACTTCAACTATTCCCAGTAATGTAGGCGCTTAATTAATCGTACTTATACGTGCCGTGAAAGTTCTCTGTACATTCTCCAGATTCCCAGCCTCCTATCTTGCACCCACTGAGCCCACTGAAGTCACCACGATTATCAAGTCACTTAAAAATAAATCAAGGAATCTGTCACAAGTACATCATTATTGTACAAGCGAGCGGCCCATGTAATTTCGCATGCTATTAAATTACTTTTTAACAAATCATTAGAAACTATGGCGCTGTATAATCCTCCGGGTTTAGCGCTTCCCCCTTGATTATAATAATAATAATAATTAGAAACTAGCACTTTCCCGGCACTTTTCAAGTCAGCAAGGGTTACACCAATACACAAAGTTGGTGACCCCACAGATGTAAACAAGTATAGGTCAATATCAAACTTACCGTTGCTATCCAAAATCCTCGAGAAACTCGTGCACAAGAAATTATATTCGTTTATAACAGCACAAAGTATACTCAACCCCTGCCAATTTGGCTTCAGAAAAAAATAAAAGGACAAACGATGCAATTGTGAAAATGCTAGATCTGCTTTACACAGCAGATCTGCTTTACACAGGACTTTTTATTGACCTAGGGAAACTTTTGACACAGTAGACCACGGCATCCTACTCCATAAACTTGACCATTATGGTATAAGAGGCCATGCACTTGCATATTTCAAATCCTACCTTACTAATAGGTATCAGTAAGTCACCATTAACGACACAACTTCATCAACACGACCACTTGATACTGGAGTGCCACAGGGAAGTAAGTGTTCTTGGTCCCCTGCTCTTCCTCTTATACATCAGTGATTTTCCCAACGTATCACACGTGAAACCAATTCTCTTTGCTGACGACTAATGTCATCTCCCACCCAAATCTTACCACACTCAGCACCATTATTAACGAGGAGCTACTAAAAATATCTACTTGGATGACAGCCAATAAACTTACTCTCAACACTGACAAAACCTTCTGTCATGTTTGGTAACAGCAAGTGTTGCACGACTGAACATTAAGATCGACAACTCTCTTATTGCCAGACATAATGAGGGCAAATTCCTGGGCCTACACCTTGACAGCAACCTGAAATTCAGCACCCATATCCAACATATAACAAAAAAGTATCCAAAGCGGTTGGGATCCTCTCCAAGATATGCTACTACTAAGTGCCAAAATCATCCCTTCTCACACTATACTATTCACTCATCTATCCCTACCTCACCTGTGCTATTTGTGCTTGGGGATCAACAGCAACAACACACCTAAAGCCAATAATAACCCAACAGAAAGCCGCAGTAAGAATTATCACGCAATCCAATACTAGGCAACACCCCCCCCCCCCTCAACCCATTTCAAAGATCTAAACTTACTCACTGTTCAGAACATCCACACTTACTACTGTACAACCTACTTTTACGAAACCATAAATTCCAATATTAACCCTGAACTAAAATGCTTTCTTGATAGTTGTGACAGGACCCACAGGCACAACACCAGGCACAAAAATCTCTGACATTCCCGATGTCCGGTTAAACCTATACAAAAATTCAATGTACATTAAAAGGCCTAAAATCTGGAACTCCCTGCCTGAAAACTCGAGAACTTCAGACACAACCATCATTTTCAAAACTACCGTTAAAAAAACATCTTATCTCCCTGACACACCCCACCGTCAGCTAGCTACATGAACACCACCTATTCTCATATTTGTATCATGCACACAAAAAACAAACTAGACCTACTCTCTATATCTGTTATTCCCCCAATATACACTTACACTCACCCAAATGACTGTAAACATTAAATTTCGAATAAAACTACTGCCTAACAAATCTTAAACTAGTCGTAAGTTTGCCTGAGATACTCCAATATATGAGCTTTAATAGAAACTGTGTATCATGTCAAGACAAAATCATTCTCATTGCTAAATTTACAAACTGTAAGGCAGTAACCTAGCTTTAATATCAACATGCTCCATAACCTGCATCAGTATAGAGTTATAATTATTATTAGTCTGCCCGAAATGCCTAGTCATGCTAGGCATGATAGTGGCTCTCTTTGTAATTAGTATTTTATAATATGTAAATTACACATTGTAACCAATATTTCATAATATGTAAACCCCACATTGTAATCTTTACAGAGAAATAAACATTTGTATTTGTATCTGCCTTCGCCTGCCTTGAAAAGGGCCGTTAATGTACAACAACATTTCAGCCGCCTAGAGAGAACAAACCATTAGAAGAGAATCAATCACTATGGGCTTGGTTTCTCTAGTTGTGAAGGTTCTCATTATATATCCTATCATTTTCCTAGTAGATGTGGTAGATACACTGTTGTGATCTTTGATTGCAGCGCTGTATGACCCTAGTAGGTTTTGCGCTTTCTTTTGATTAGAA